AGGCCACTCCTGGTGTCGCGAGCATTTTCGCTTACATTTCAAGGACGGCTGGGCTCCGATACCTCGGTTGCTGGCGGTCTTCCGTTAATGGGGGCAAGGACAGTAGGTCTAGGTCTCTATCTCTATGCGATTGGATTTGCGCGGCAGAGGTCCCGGCTGGGTGGTCTGAGGAAGTCACTACGGAAATGCAGCTGGCGACCAACGACACGTACCTGCGCAACTCTCGCTTGTTGGAGGTCCACGAGACAGCAGAATGGAAGTCGTTGCTCGACCGCAATGACGTGCATGTCCAAAGACGCGCAGGATCTTAGCAGTCCCGGTCTTGCGTGTGGAAGGAAAGAAAGAGGAAGAAACGAAGGGAAGGGAAGGGACGGGACCGCAACGGCCGGAGGTTCACGAGGGTACTTGCGCAGCCGGGCGTGAAGGCCGACGTGCTGGAAGAAGCGTGCCGACGTCTGTCCGGCTGTGGCGAATTCCTGTGCTTCCGCGGAATGCTCTTTCTCTTTCATACCCTTTTTATCTTCATTCAAATGGACATGTAAAGACGTGTGACACGATTGCAGCCGAGGGGGACATGCGTTGTGGAAGCCGCAGCCGGCGCAGGGCTCGTTGACGACTATGCGGGGGCGAGCTGCGTTCTGGGCTACGGCAGGGCGGGGTCTAAGGCTTAAGGTAGCTTTGCGAGAATTTTCGCTTGGGATGCATTTTCAGTGCGCGGTTCGCAATAGGCCGGGTGTGAAAACGCGCAGTCCTCATGCTTAGCTGTATTCAGGCGATGGCACGGACAAGTTTCTCCGATTGTGCAGCGAGAAGCAGCTGAGAGAGGCGCGCCCCGTCCCTAAACCTTAAACCCAAAACCCTAAACCCTAAACCCTAAACACTAAACCAAAACCCTAAACTCAAGGCCTAGGCCGCCCACCTCCGTGGGTGGGCGGCGCTTCAGCCCCTCGACCTCGATGGCGCAGAGCGACCCCGCTTCTCCACAGCCATGGGGCGGTACCGGAACAGGTTCTCCTCGGGACCAGTACTGGTTTCTAATAAAGTAATACCCCAAACCCCAAGCCCTTGATCCTGGAGGTGCTGGCCCACTTGGGCCCCCCTAGAAAAGGGACCCTCCGCAGGGGCCCTGGTGCCTCTGGCGAGCAGACTCCAAGGACCTCGGCGGCTCCAGGCCAGTCCGAGGGAGGGATTTGGGCACTTTTTGGTCCTGGCCCCTGGGCCCCCTTGGCCCTCCCTGGCCCCCCCCTGGCCCCCCTGGCGGCCCCCCTTCTGGGTGTGTGGTGGCCTCCCTGACACCACCCTGCCGCCCGCCGCCCTGCCCTGCTGCCTGCCCTGCCCTGCCCTGCCCTGCCCTGCCCTGCCCTGCCCTGCCCTGCCCCGCCCTGCCCTGCCCTGCTGCCCTGCCGCCCGCTCTGAGACCGCCCTCCTGCCCTGCGCACTTGAAGATTTGAAGCTTCCTGAAATGAGTTTATGTGCTAAACCCTAAAAGGAATAGGTTTGGGCGGCTTGGCCGCCTTAGACGGCCTGGGGTGGGAGAGTGAAAAGAGAAGCCATCCACAGTCAGGCTCCAACGACGAAGCGCCACATAACGACACAGTCGAAATTACGAAATTACACTGTCCCAAGATACTTCCGCCTATGCGCAATTCGACGGCAAACCCTAAACCCTAAACCCTAAACCCTAAACCCTAAACCCTAAACCCTAAACTCTCAGCAGCAGGGTGTTTGGATCGGGTTCCGTTGGTGTTGCCAGGATCGGCGTCGCGTGCTCCTGGACATTGCGAGCGCTGTGGCCGAGAAGTGGCCGACGGCGGTGCACGTGGCTGGCAGGAGTTGCCACGCAAACCCACTTCTTGGGTAACCCCAGCAGGTCCATTTGTAGTAGTGTCTTCGGTACCCCAGAGCCTAGCCAGACCCAGGCTTAATACGGTTTGTTGGGATACCAATTCCATCCTAGTACTACGCATGGACTGTCTGGGTAAAGAGGTCGGCTTTTCAGTAGGCAAACCTTACTCACAGGAGAATCGCTCTGGCTGCGCCGTATCCCAGAAGCGTACAGCGATCGCTGTGCAAACTGGGCCAGATACTTCACGTTGTTGCTCAACCGCACGCGAGCTGAGCGAGGCTGTTGTTTTCACAAGAACGGCGCAGCTCTGAGGTGAGCACAGGGCAGTTGCGGGGTTTGCGACGTTTAACTCGTGAGGCCGGGCATGTCAGCAAAGGTCTTCATGCGTTGCAGCCGTGCAAGGGTCTTCGTGCGGGCAGCGTTGTGCAGGCATGGGACTGGGATGCTGCAGAGACCGCGTTCGGGAGGCCCTTGTGCCCGGCATACCTATGCTTCGCACGTGCGATGTGCGGGTTTGGCCGCAGGGTTTCAGGTTGGCGAAGCTGTGCTTTCCGTTCTGTTTTCCTGCTACGCAGCCATACAAAAACAACTCAGAAGTAGCATGCTCTCGACGAAGGCGGACATGTCGCCGCAGATAGTAACGCAAGCAAACGAAACAAGGAACCAATCATGGCCATCGTCCTCAGGGATTTGGGGGTTGAGGGGTTAGAGGTTAAGGGCTTATACCGGTTTGCAGGTCATGGGTTGGGTTTTTAATGCTCGTTTTTTGCAGGTGAGGAAGACTGGGTGTTTCCGCTCGTGTTTCCGATGTCCGATGGCTTGCGTTCGCAGGGCAACTGGTGTGGGCGGCAGGCTTTCAGTGCCCCTATGGAGGATCGGGGCATGCCACTGGGGGAGCCAAGCGAAACAGTGGCACGGCAAAGCCGTGGGCGTGGCCTGAATGTTAATGTCAAGCCGGAGACCAATGCTGCAGGTGTTTCCGCTGCTCTTGAGCATGCAAGGAGAGTGTCACGGGAGGATGCTGCCGGGGCAGTCATTGGCGCTGACGACGTCTGCAAAGATGCTGTTTCTGCAGCTAGTCCCGTCAGTCAGTTTGATGCGAGGAGCCCTGCCGAAGATATTTCGCCTAGTTGCGCTTTGACGCAGTTGGACAGTGATATTTCCTTAAGTGGTGCTGACACACGCTGTGACTGGCCAAGTCAATTTGGCTGGGGTTGGCCCATCTCATGTCAAGACAGGAAGCCAGCTAGGGATGTACTGCCGTCCTATGGACCGTGGCGTTCTACAGCGGGCCGCATCCACTACGCATGCCGGGTGTACGCGGATGCCGTTGCTGAACCTCGACGTGCAACAGCAGACATCTTCCTGGCGCCTGCAGAGATGTGGCAGCGTTTGCGTCTGCCGGGCATTCTGCATAGAGCGCTTGACGAATCTGGAAGGCCCGTGGCATTGGACCTGCCTTTTCACGGCTCCGGCGTTACCCTCTATCCGATGCAATCTTCCCGTGTCTAGGCTGCTTGTACACAATGGCTCGTCAAGTCGGGTCCTCGTCATGCACCAATTCGTAATTTCCTTGTGGTCATTGCAGTGCACGAGTAGCAAAACGTCTGCTGCGCTCGCGCTTCTGAGCACGTGCTTATATATGCTCACATAGTTGCATGGCGCTGCGCAGTGACATCGCAGGAATATCGACCTGGAACCTCGCCACGACAATGCCAATGAAGGTCTGAAGATGCATACTTCCTTATTGAGTACGCCGGGCTGGCAAGCTTCCAGGTTCAGGTTTCAAGGTTTGGCATCTGCGGAGTTCGGAGTTGAGGAGCATATCAAGGGGGGGGTTGAGGATCTTCAGCGGGTTGCGACGGAGTCAAATGTAGTTCAAGAACTCGACTACATTTCCTCCACATAATTTCAGGAGGCCCATGGATTTTCTGGGGGCGGCTTGCTGCGTGGTTACATGTACTTTCGCGGATAAACCATATTTCCCTGCAGGGTTTTGTGATATCCTTCTGGCTTAGCGTTAGAAAAAGTTGGCCCACGACGTTGACAGCCTGCCCCATAGCGATTTCAACCCAGTGGTGGCACGCAAACATCCCGCGCAATGCCTAACAGATTCCCCTTGAAATTCAAAGGGCCCACACCCTCGGTCCTCGAGCTTGCGCCCCTGAGACGCTTGCCCTCGACCCTAAATTCATCAACCTTCTAAGCACAAAGACAAAAACCTCCTGTAATCTGCGTGCAGGTAGAAGGATGCCAAGCAGCCGAACGCCTGAGGTGTGAAGGCTACTCGAACTATACCCGATGCCACTGCGCACGGCGCTGCCGCACCAGCGACTTGAGAGCGCTGGGCTTGCTACAAAAAGACTGGGTCTTCTGTTTTCTGCATGCAGGAGAAACAACCGTGGGGTTGAAATCTGCAGGCAAGAAACGTGGCAAGAGAGCTTGTCAGGCCTTTGTCTCAAGGCGACCGTGCTGTTTCCCATTGCGGCTGTTTGCTCGTGGAGTGTGGCTTTTTCCTAAGCTTGCTTCTTCTACTTGTAATTCCAGACGGTACCCCAAAGCATATGCGTATAAGGAATTCAAAACGGACAGCTTCCTCGATCTGCTGCTTTCTACTCTGGCTGTCCGCTTGCTGACTGCAACTTCTCGTTTACTGACCTGTGGCTTTTGTAATGGCGACTTTTCTAATTGCGGATGACGGAGCGATTACTTCATCTGACGTTTTTTTTTTTTTGACGGCTCGCTTGCTGACTGCGGCTTCGTGTTTCCTGACCCGTGGCTTTTTCTAATGGTGACTTTTCTAATTTGGGAGCCTGTGATAGCTCCAGGAATCATTGCGTTCATGCAGTAAAAATGACCGCACGTTCTCCCTTGCGGCTTGCTTGTTTTCGACTGTGGCTTTATACATTTTCTGCAACTGTGGCTTTTTCTATTTCTCAATTTTCTATCTGGGGCTGTGGAGGCGGGCAGCATGTTCAGTGTTGCTTCCCGCTCGCAGCTTTGCGTTGTTCGACTTGAGCCGGAGTGTTTTGTGACTTCGGCCCTGCTGCTTTCCGAAATTTTCGCGCGCGTTTCCGACTCCACTTCGTCGTTTTTCGACTGCAGCCTGCATGTTTCCGACTTTGTTTGCTGAATTCGGCGTTGCCCTACGACGATGGCCTTTGGGATTCCGATGGCTCTGGTGGACTTCCTCTGGACGTCCTCCACGCCGAGCATGTGGGTGACTTCATGGATGACCTTAACGAGCTCCTCTACTATGCAGTCCTTGGTGGACGTGTCCTCTTTTCCGACGCCGACCTGGACCTCTACGACGATGGCCTTTGTGATTCCGATGGCTCTGATGGACTTCCTCTGGATGTCCTCCACGCCGAGCATGTGGGTGACTTCATGGATGACCTTAACGGAAGGCTTCCCAGCTGTCTCTCTGGTGGGGGTGAGTTCCTTATTGACCTCCACGACCTCCACTTCCACGACTCCCTGTCTGTCCTCGATGTCTTTGTTGACTTGCTCCTCCGGTCAATGCCTTGCAGCTCTTCCTCCTCACGTCATGCAGATGGCCGACGTGAACTCCGTGACAGGGTTGACTTCCTCAACCTCTTCTACGACGACATGGTGTTTGGACTGGTGGGGTGATGGCTGGTCGTCTACCACGTCGACTACACATGTGGAAGTGCCGGACATGGCTGCTGAACTACCCTTGAGCGCGCTCGTGGTGGAACCAGATAACAGCAGTCTACTCGTACAGTTGCAGACCGGTGCCCACGAGCAGGTGAACATTGCTCCTGAAGAAGTGGTGGTCCTTCATTCTCTGCATCACCTTGGGGAGAGTTCTGTAAGGCACCTACTACTTGACATTGTGACGTCCACGGTTCGAGAAATTCGCAGCAAGATGTCGCTTGCTTATGCGCCTGGTCTCCGGGGTGCCGTGTACCACCACCTTCGCCTTATACAGCTCATCGTCGATGCTTTGGCTTCGTATCGGGAGAGTTTGCTGCGCCAAATTCCTATTGGAGAGGGAGAACCGAGGACGGCACCTCCTCGCAACTCGGGCGAGTTCAGGTCGTTACATGCTTGGGCGGATGAAGAATGTGGACGTGATAGTGGCATCCGTGGTGGGCACGCATAGGGAGAACCTTCGACGTGAACAACTACAAAGGGAGGAAAACGAAGCTCGTGAACGAGGAGTTCAAGACTTGCGAGAGCTCGGTAGGCGATGGCAAGCTCGGCCTCATGTACCTCCTGCGTGCCCTTTGCCAAACCAAGGTACCAGGGTGACCCCACGGCCTTTTCTCAAAAGGACCTTTGAAAACATGGAGGAGGGTCGAGCCAATGCAGGGATTGGGTCTAGTGGGGCGAGTTCTTCGTGGCAGAGGCCGTCATCTGCGGTTATGTCTTCTCGGCCGAGGGCGACTTTTTCTCCGCGGAGTCCCACCTTGATGCCTCCTCCACCGGGGCCTCCTTCTCGTGCCTCTCGGCTTGCACCTCGCTTCCCAGCTCCGTCAACGACGAGATTCCCGTCTTTGCCAACGCTTGAATCCTGGGCGGCAGCTCACTTTGGTTGGACGTCGGCTAATCCTCCTACCCCGGATGGCGTCCCGCGCTCTGTACCGGGTGCTCCAGCCACGCCGTTAGATGAGGACCTTGGAGAAGAAGCACCTGTTATCCCACATGTACCGCTTGGAAACGATGACGATGGCCTTCGGCTCATACCTGGACACCCTGTACATCGACCTGGAGCCCCTGAAACACCGCAAACTTCACAACCAGGACCTAGTACGCCCTTCATCCCCACGGCGCCCGTCCACATCCATGGGGCGCCTACGACACCCTTCGATGAGATGGAGAGTTCTGGATATGTCAGTGCCTCTTATCTGGATGACTTCCTTGCGGGCGAGTACGATGATGTTTCCACTACGACGTCGACTTCGTGCTCTGGGCATGGGGTGTGGTCCACAACGAGCACTACAACTGGTTGCGATGACTTGGAGGATGAAGGTGGTGAGGTTGACTTTGAGGAGGAAACTTGCAGTGGAGATGGTGAAGAGGACTCTGATGTGCTCGCTGGCGGGATTGGAGAATGGAACTCGTCTGCGAATGACCAGGTGTCTGTGTCTGAACTGCGGATGGCTCGGACGGTTGCAAGACTGGTGTTGGTGGAAATTTCGGCGCGATTAAGGACTATGGGGGCCACAATGAGATCCAGGTCGCGGTCGCGGAGCCCGAGAAGGATGGAACGTCTCCGTGGGGCCCTGAGGGGATTTGATGCTGATGGTGTGCCGAACTACCTGGACTTGGGGGGTGACTTTGTCTGGGTCGTCGTGCCAGGAGAGGATGACGTACAAACAAGCGCTCCGCAAGGACGCGTGGGAAATGCCTCTGGTGTGGCTCAGGAGCTGGAGACTACACATGGCGAGTCTGCAGTGGAAGTCGATCAGTTGCCTGACATGCCCTTGGGTGACAACCATGCGGAATTGCAGCCGGAGAACGTGGCGCTCAATGAGATGACGGAGCCGGTCATGCCTGCGGAGCAGGATGTGCCTGAAGAGCACGAGGACGATCCCTTTGCCCTGCTCAGTCCGGTGGAGGCATGCAGCCCGGAGGTCGACGACGTTGTGGAGGATGGTGAGCAGGATGTGGAGGTTGAATATGCTCTTCTTCAGAACTGGGAGGAGTTTCAAGAAAGACAGGGAGGTCGGGAATACAGTTCCTGGCGTGAACTCTGACGAGTATGAGGGGGTCTGTCTGGGGTCAAACTTCGTCCTGCCTTACCTTGACGCAATGACTCTGTTCTACCTATGCCTTCTGCTCTTCTACCTTCGTCAAGTTTCGCGTCTACTACGTACGACGGTGGATGTTTTTCTCAAACTGTTACAAATGCAGTAGTTTCACCGTGTGCCTCAGCGCGAGGGGATTCGATGGGAGGGTCGGGTCTAGCACATGTAAAAAAAAAACCCTAAACCCTAAAGCCTTAACCCTAAACCCTTAACCCTAAACCCTAAACCCTAAACTAAGTCCCTGGGGCCTGGGGTTTCCGGTCGAGCCCCTCCCTCCCGCACGAGCTTTTCAGCGGAGGCAGGCCTGGGAGCCCTGAACTTCTTGAACGGTTGACGGTCTGGTGCTTATTTGGAAGGGCAGGGGACTTAGTAAGTAGGTTATAAGTAGGGTTATAATTGGGGTAACTCCATTTAGGGTACTTATAACTCTACTTATAACCTACTTACTAAGTCCCCTGCCCTTCCAAGTAGTAGGGAATGGGGGAATGGATCCCTATAGTAGTCCCTATCTAATCCCCAATAATAGTCTCCATATTCCATGCCCCCATTCCCTAGTAAGAACCAGACGGTTGAGAGGACGATGGTTACTTGGTCGGAATCCTCTTGAACGGCCGCGATTTGAGCCCGGGCTCCCGGACATTGATCCCGGGATTTCTGGGGCTCAAGGTTTCGGGAAGAGGCCGCTTGGGTTTAGGGTTTAGGGATTTGGGGGTTTAGGGTTACAGGGGTTTAGGGTTTGGGTTTAGGGTTTAGGGTTTTCTAGATTTTCTGGGGCTCCTCCTAACCCGCAGCGCCAGAGTTTCGAATGTCAAAGCCTGGAACCCCTAAACCCTAAACCCCGTATCCCCTGAACCCAAGTCAAGTGCAGATGTCGGCTCTATGGACATCGACCCTTTTAGTCTGACTCCCTGGAAGTTAAAAGCCCTGAGCCACAGATTCTGGTGTCAACCTGCTGCAATGCAGGCATCCGAACAACATGAAACCGCCAGACACCATCTGTGAGTCACATACCCTCCTCGAAGTTCTAGTTTCAATTTCATGTTATATAGTTGCCTGCAAGCTGTTCGAAGCTGCCATTAAATCGTCAACTTTTGTTTCTGGTTTTCCCAGTGTCTCCCATTTCTACGGAGAAACTTGATATGCACACAACATGTTGCCGTACGTACTGTCCAGTGTTCGGAAGTACGGCATACATCCTAAGCCACAAGCGCTAGATCTTAAGCTCTACCGAGGTTGTGAGATTGTGGTTTTCGATGCCCACAGCATCCAGAAAGGGCCAGTGTGCCGAAGCCCTGGAGGGGTGTGGGGTTAAGGCTTAGGGTTTGGGGTCTTAAGAATTAGGGGTTCGCATGGAGGATTTTTATGGTTCACGGTTTAGTGCTGTTACAGGGGATTTGTGAGCAGGAAGCTCTTGCACAGTAGTATTGGCACAGCACATGTGCACGAGTAGCACGACACATAGCGAAACAAGCTGTCATTTTGTTTTAGCAGGAGAGACAGCAATTATCGAAACTGTGACACTCGCAAACCATCACAGAGAGAGGGACAATGCTATGAAACATTCCTAGACCGAGCAATCGTACAATAGGGCGACTTGTCGAAGTCTGAGGAGCCGGCATCGTTCTGAGCAGCATCAGTAGCAGTAGTAGTTGTCGTCGCAATCGTCGTCGTGCTGGTGGTCGTAGATGGCGGCGGCGGGGAGCCCGAATCCCCAACTTTGAATTCGGTCCCCAACCCTAAACATCCCTAAACCCTAAATCCTACAGCTAAAGCTAAAACCCATTTTTGTACGAGGTCGTGTGCCGCTTCCGAGCTTTATCCCGCACGCCTTGCACGGCTGCTTCGTGCCGAACCTGGCCGAGCTCGCCAGAGTTAGCGTTGTTTTTGTAACAGTAGTACGGGTTCAGGAATACGCTTTGGTTGGGTTGTTTGTGTGACGCTGCAAAGCACGCCAAGCTTTCACAGCAGCGAAATAGAAGAGAGTTGCCGAAGTGTTCAATCTGAACACACAGCCACAGCCATCACTTGACTACTAGGGATTGCACGCGCAAGGCCATGATAGTATTCATGAGGAAGATGATTTGCAGGAGATCAAAAAAGTCTGGCATGAAGAAGGCATACAACTACAACTAGGACTACCTTCAATTACTCTCCTGAGAACCTCCAGGTATCCCACACCCTGTCAAAAACAGATGCCAGGTGCCCACTTATGAGCAGATCCAGGAAGCTTGGAACAAGTGTCCCACTTCTTTGTAATCATAGTTTGCCAATAGTGTGCAGAGTTGTGCACATCTTTTAAATTTCGCAGGAGCTGTTTGCGCCCTGCCCAGACCAGACTTTTCGAGGAATGCGGTGCCGAAAAGACTGTGGAACATCGGTTGGCGTCTGTTAAGACTTCTTGCACATGATAGTCAAGTTTGTTGTTACTCTGGGAAGACTCAAACTTACTGCATCGTTGCCATCACAATATTGTGCACTGTTGCATTGTGAACCCCACATCATACACTTAAACACCAAACAAACGGGCCTGGCCCCGAACACCCAAGCTCTAAACCCAATCCCGAGTGCTGTCGCTGAAATGTACCATTCCCTGCCGAAGCAATTGGCGAGTCATGGGTTGTGGGGTTTAGGGTTCAGGGTTTAGGGTTTGGATGCGCTAGATTGATTGGGACTATCGCGCCTTGTGAAGCAGATAGGACTGTAGCTACCTTAAGTAAAGACCTTCCCCCAAACCCTGAACCAATGAACCCCCCAAAGCTAGAGCCCTGACCCAACGCTCCTGTGGCTTTCATGGTGGCTTGTCAGCCAGAGGCCCGCGACTCAAAGACACCGCAAGCGAACCGAAGACCAGCCCCTACTTAAAGGATCACAGGACTTTCACTTAAAGGGCTCCGTAAGGAGTGATGATTCTAGATGGCTTTAGAGTTGAAAGGTCATGGACTTAGTAACTGGGGCTATAAGGAACTTGACTGCAGTTAGTTGTAACTACTCCTAACCCAAATTAAGGTACTTACTGGGCTTTGGAATACCATACTTGAATATTTTTTTGGGACACCAACCATGAAATAGACGTCTATACTTTTTCTCCCTGGTTACCTTCAAAGCCCAGCTTCTAACACTGCCTACTACGTCTCATGATTTCTGCAAGTAAACCCTAAACTCCAGACTCTTCCCACACGAAGCCCCTAAACCCAGCGACTCCGATCTCCCTTAATTTACGTAACATACATTCAGTTATGGTAGGATCCCTCATATGATTTCAGGTAGATCCCTTAGATATGTTAAGGGATATTGGCGTCTTTGGGAGCTCTGAATCATCATCCGTCCGCGCATTTTCTCAGCCTGACCGGGGCGGGGGGCGACCCAGCCTGGCCAGGACTTCGCAGGGAGCTCAGGGCCTTGCTTTGTGGGTTCTTGTTTGGGTACTGCCCCCACTCAGCAACAGTTGGATAATATTCCTAATATAGATATATCCGGACCTTAGTAGTAGCCCTATTATAGACTGTTACTATACGGGGGCAGTACCCAAGTTCTTGTCAAGGTTACCATAGTTTAAGTTACCGTAATTTAGGGTTCCTTTAAGGGCTCTGTAAGGGTTAGGGGTTAGGGAACTTAATTTAGGTTACCTTAATAGGGAAACCATATTGTCTACTATAGATGCCTGTTATGGCAACTTAAACTAAATCCCTTAACAAGAAACCAGGTTTTTGTTGCATTGTTTCTGGCCTTTGAAGAATCACGTTTTTTAGGGCTCCTTATGATGGTTTCCTTGTACAAGTCCTTAAAAGGGTTGGTTATTGGGTCGGGTCCCGGTATACCCTCAACCCTGAACCCCCTATAACCCCAAACCCTGACCGCCAGAACCTGAATGCTAGACCCTAAACCCTAAACGCTTCCGCGCTCAACCCGAACCCCCTAAACCCTAAACTCTAAACCCCTAAACCCTAAACCTCGGTCCTACAGACTGAAGGCCCAGACACAATGCAGGCTCCCTGTCGGGAGCCCAGCACCTCAGGCCTTCGCCTTCAGTCTTGCTTTTGGGTTTTGGGCTATAGGGTTCCTTTAAAGGGTTTAGGGTTTTAGGGTTTAAGGTTTAGGGGGTTTCTTAGAAAAGGGTTTATAAGGGTTACTATATCAAAAAAGTAAGATTAACATAAGGAGCCCTAATAGAGACCCAGGGTTTCTTTGTCAGGTTCCTACATTAGGGGCGACTTCGATGGTTTTCGGACTTCAGGCTCCTCTCAGCTACCGTACTATAGGGGACTATTTTGGGGGTTCCTTGGTATAATGGGCACCACAACCCTATTCTAATTAGGGAGTGGCCACGGGGATCATTGCTCCGAAAGTCATGGCCAAAGGTTGACGACAATCAACAACGCACAGCCAGAATCAGAAATCGAGCTTGCGAGAGCTTCAGAGGCACGTGGAATCCTAAACTGAAGCTCCACCAAAACCCAAACCCAAACCCCAAACCCTACACCTTTGTTTAGGGTTTAAGGTTTAAGGTCTGGTATATGGGTTCCTAAACCAGTACAACCTACCGAAAAATCATGGATTTTTTTGAGGCCCCCAAACTACACGACTCCTTTAAACGGAAACCCTCCAGGAAAACCTGCTCTACTTTTTAAGCCCTATGTTCATTGTGGAGCATTGGGTTGTTCGAACTGAGGACGTATTGATGTACCTAGCAGGAACTCCAAATGCTAAACCCTGTAACCCTGAAGCCCCAGACCCTAAAAGCCTGAAGACTTAATCTCTTTACTACTTTTGTTGCTTTTTACGAAAAACTCCATATACCGAATTTACACAACAAAGTAGTTTTGGTAGCGAAAGGTAGGACCGAACCGCAGCCTTGGTCATGAACACTAAACCCTAAACCCTAAATCTCTCTATCATACTTAAAGGATCATGGGACTTAGTAAATAGGTTATAATTGGGGTTATAAGTCCCCTAAGTGGGGTTATCCTAATTATAACCTACTTATAACCTTACTTACTAAGTCCCATGAGCCTTTAAGTATAGGTATTTAAACCTTAATGGCGCCAAGTTTGGGATTCGGAAGCCGGCTCTCCATCGGTTGTGCCAGGCGCTCAGTTTGGCCTGCAAACGGTCCTTTAAGGCATCTTTTAAGGGATCCTTTCAGGGCTCCTTTGAGGGCTCCGTTAAGGGCTTTTTGTGAAGGCTCTGCACGGGATGCAGAAGTTGTGATTAGGGTTGAACCGTTTAGGGCTCAGGGTTTAGGACTTGGGGCTTTTGGTAGAAGGTGTCCTGGTTTTACGGTTTCGGGGCGTTGGGAAGAAGATGTCAGGAAGCTTCAAACGTTTGTCGGATCTTCCATTCCATCGAAGTGGTCAGGAGCCGACTGACTGAAGCTTGTCTTGGGGCCTTGTTGTTTGGGGGTGTGGGGTTTGGGGTCATCGGGTCTAAGTAGCTTCGGGTGTCATGGGCTTTATGATTTAGCGTGCTTGAGTTCCGTGTCGAGGCACCTACCGATATTCTAAAGCAATCAAACCAGAGACTACACTTATAGATGCCGAAATATTTGGCTCTGCTTCCGGCCCAGCGAACCAAGATTCTCCCCTTTCACGAGGCACCGCAAGTATACTGAACGCCCCCAAAATCCTTACGTCCCCACTCCTGCGGCCTTTGCACCCAACGCCCACAAGTTTTCTGCACTTACCCATAGACTCCCGCGCCCCCAACCCGAAATTTGGGACCCCAAACCAACTGTGAACCTGGGATCGAAGCCCCTGAACCTGTTATCCTCAAGATCATGTAATTTGATATAATGTAAGACAATATACTAAGATTTGATGTGATAGAATAGAACAGTGTTAGAGCAGAAATGTAATATAACGCAATATGCTCTATCCCTACGCTCTTTGATTGCCGGGCGGAAAAGCCAAGGAACAAAAATCGCAGCTTCCAAGCTACGCGCCAGGATCAGAATGAAGGGATACATGGGTTTTCGGGCACCGTCGCAGTTCAAGGCTAGGGTGGGGGCTTCACAACAACACCTCGGCCCCATAAACTGTATCATGTCTGAAGATTCTAAGGTTGGGGCTTAGAAGCCCCAATGTAGGTAGGGGCCTTAATAGTTCGACTAGGGTTTTAGGGGCTCCTTAATATACTTATAGTACACTATCCTCCAAGACCATATTCTAATTATTAAGGGCCGCTACATTACGCCGTGAAGACTTTGATTCTGGGCGTCAGAGTGGAAGTTGGGGGACGAACCCGAAAGCGAGCATGGTTCAAGTCTTCGGGATTTCGAGTTTCGGGTGTCGGAGGTGGATTTGTTGTCCTGTCGGTCCTTTGTTTGTGTCCTCCAAAACTTTGGAGGTTAGTGCTGCTGCAAAGCTTAGAGGCCGTTGTGTGTGATATTGGGATGTGCGCAAACCGAATGGAAAGTACACGGCAGCCCGTTCATGATAAACAAGGGCTGCCTTCTTGCAATCCGGAGCCAACATGATACCTGTTGTGCACATGGAACAGAACAAGGGCCCCTGCCATGTGTCGATAGTTGCTGCTTTTTGCGACAAGAACATGGGCTCACGTCATGAGCATCAGCTACTTGTTGCTTTCCGCGCCGCTCGTGTCATGAGCATCAGGCTTTTGTTGCGTTTCGTGCCACTTGTGGGGTAGCCGCTTTGCTTTCTCTCCTAAGCCAGAGCCATTGTGACAAATGCTATATCTCCGGCGGAAAATGTGAGCCAGCATCATGAGCATCAGCCCTTTGCCGCGTTTCGCCACTCGTCTCGGTAGTTGCCTGTTTCTCCAAAGGTATAGACGATGTGATGAATGCTGTGCGATCGGCCTAAAACAAACTTCAAACGGATTTCCGCGCCGCCCGCATCATGAGCATCACCCTTGCTTTCCGTGTGACTTGTGGCGCTTGCTCTCCCCAGCCAAAGCCATTGTGACAAATGCTAAATGTCCTGCGAGAAATCGGGCGCAGCATCATGAGCATCAGCCCTTGTCGCGTTTCACCACTCGTCTCCGTAGTTGCCTTCCCTCCAAAGGTATAGACGGTGTGATGAACGCTGCGTGATCCAAACAAAGACATGGGCCCGCATCATGAGCATCAGCTCCTTGTCGCTTTCCGCGTCGCATGATGACCACCAGCCTCTTATTGCTTTCCGTGCCACTTGCAGGTAGCTGCTTTCTTTCCCAAACCAGATCCACTGTAACAAATGCTATATCTCCGGCAGAAACTGTGGGCACGCATCATGAGCATCAGCCCGTTGTGGCTTCTG